GATGCTTCTGGGGAAGGAGAGTCAGTTTTCTCCAAGGTTGTGGTTCCTGGGAGATGACTCCAGTGGATGACTTCATATGGACAGCACCAACAGGACTCAGTGGATTAACAAAATAACATAAATAACAAAAATAAATGACATGGGGACACAAGGAGGGTGGATCCAGACGCTGTTGGGGGAGGGATGAATATTATCAAGATACATTCTATGGTTGGGAGGTGGTGACATACACCTTTAATCCCAGCACTCAGGAGGCCGAGGTGAAAGACCCCTAGAGGCTCAGGCCCCCAGGATCTCGGCCCAGGACTGCAGTGACTCCAATCACTAGGGGGAGGCAAAAGCCTGATGCAAACAGCAAGAGGCTTTATTGCAGTTGTTTAACAAGCTGAGAAAAGACCCCCGAGAAACCACAGGACAGAGATCGTATAGGGCAACATAAGGGGAGTGTCTAGGGGTACGAACAGACTCAGGATTGGTGTGCCTCCAGGCTTGAAGGACTTGCCCTGTGTTGATTGGTCAACTGGTTGTTATGGCCCATAGGCCCTCCCAGGGCGATTGCTATGCTCTGTGCGTCACTGCTGTGCACTTATCTGTAAAGTACACCCAGAGCCGTAAAGCATAGCACCACCAGCTAACTTCTGATGGGTTCCTTGCCACGAGGCAGGCATCTGAACTCCTAGTGACCAAGGCAAGGTCAGGCAAGCATGTGTTAGGCTGTTATGGCTGCCAAAACGGGGAGCTAGTCCCTTCAAGGCAGGCAGATCTCTGAGTTTGAGGCTAGCCTGGTATACATAGTAAGTTCCAAGACAGCAAAGCTACACAGAGAAACTCTTGTCTGGTAGGGGGTGGCAATACACTGTATAATATTTTCAAAGATTTAATGAAAATATTTTAAAGAGTCACTTAATTGGGATCCAAGTAAGAAACAAGAGAAAATGAGCCAGCATGTTCTCACACCCACCAGGCATTTAACATGCCCCAAAGACCCTCTTGAGTGCAGGGTCAGGACTCAGTCCAGCCAGCCACCCTAAAATTGGCTTTCTCCTCAGAGCCAAATGTCCTTTCCCCGTTAATTGGTTGTGTATGTGTTAAATTCTAATAGCCAACACATTTTACTTTCAAATTCTAATTTTAACTACGTGTTATTAGCCTATTTTAAAGGGGGAGTGGAGGCCTGTAGTCCCAGCACTTGGGGAGTGAGGGCAGCTATAAGCAGGAGGATCAGGAGTTCAAGATAATCCTCCCTACATGGTGAGTTCTAGGCCATTCTGGACTACTATCATTTGAACTACTACAGAATGAAGACGCTGCTTTTTTGTTGTTGTTTTTTGTTTTTGTTTTTCGAGACAGAGTTTCTCTGTGTAGCTTTGGAGCCTATCCTGGCACTTTCTCTGGAGACCAGGCTGGCCTTGAACTCACAGAGATCCACCTGCCTCTGCCTCCCTAGTGCTGGGATTAAAAGTGTGCGCCACCAATGCCTGGCTAGGAAGGAAAAAATCTTTACAGGATGCAAACATGACCAAAGTACATCATATCCATGTATGAAAGTGTCATAATGAAACCATTACTTTGTGTAATTGAGGTATGCTGATAAATGCTGATAAGACACATATTCATTTTACTTTTAAGGGTTGACTTACATAATATCTTCCCAAAACATTTAGGCCAATAGATGATTAAGAATTCTTTGTTCACATGCTGCCATCTGGTGACCAGAGTGAGAAAGTTCCAAATGGCTACCACAGAGAAAGAAAATCCTTGTATCACCTGGTTAGCTGATAATCGGAAACCTGAGGTGGAAAAGTCTTTACAGCCCTGACATTCCTAGCTATGAGATACTTTACATGTAAAGAATGGCAGCAAGAGGCTTATGGGGGAACAAACTGGCTGACCAGACAGCAAACTTGCTGGTTGTATCCCAGTGTAAAAGGGAAAGTCCCTTTACTGTTTGCTTGCAACACACGTCAGCTTTGTTCACTCAACAAAATCTTACTGGTGTCCTATTATTTCCAGGTAGTCCGCATTCCGTTGTGAAGGTGTTAAGAGGACCTGTGGGAAGCAGGGTCCCCACCCTGTAAGGTCATGTGGCTGTGTCTCACATGGCTTCCACATGCAGCAGGTACCTCATTCTCATTCATGTAAAGATGAGTGGACTGTCCAATTGACAGAGCAAGTTCAGACAGGTCTACATCCCGGGACTCTTCCTAAATCAGGAGTCTCTTCTCACTCCTGGCCAGCTGGAATCAGCTGCATCTGAGAATCTGACCTCCTATACACCTGGGTCCTTGAATGCAAAAGTAAATTCCCAGCTGCCATGAGCTAGTCTGTGGTGTGGAAATGCTCTCAGTAGCCAGTAAGAATCCAGAGGATCCACTGGCTTCTCGGACAGCCCCAGAAGTGCCTCCTCTGCCCTGGGCTCCACCTCTTACCTGCAGGGTTCAGCCACAGAAAGATTAGTTGACTGGTGGCCTACATGTGGAGGTGTCTCATGGCCTGCAACCAGTACTCTGAGGACACTTCTTAGCCATGCATGGCAACACAAGCCTGTAATCCAGAACTTGGGAGGCTAAGACAGTTGGGTCTTGAATTCAAGACCAGCCTGAGCTACATGAGTTCCAGGCCAGCCTTAGCTAAATAAGGCCTATGTAGGCACTAATAAGAAAATGCTGTCTCTGCCTTCCTGTCCCATGTGAGAAGTAGGCTTTGCACATGTTTCTACTCCACAATACTCTGTCTCACTGTGGAGCCCAGAACTTTGAAACCATTCATATAAGGCAGTTGTCATTCTGAGTCTGACTGGTTTTGTTTTACAGGATGATCTCCAGGGTATCTGTCTTCCTGCAAAAGACAAATATTTTCTTCTGTCCAAAATGTGAATGCCCAGGTACACAATGAAACCTGAGAGACAGACAGGCAATTTTGCAGCACTGTGTGGATGCAAAGTATTCAAGAGCTGGAAACTGAGGCCTGGGAATCAAACAACCTGTTATTCAGTGACAGAATCCTAACTGTTGCACACTCAAATACTTTCCTTGAAGAGCATTCAGCATGTTGACACCAGGAACTAGTGTATGTGAAGCTGGATAAGAGCAGAGCTTCTAGCTGACATGAAGGTGAGGTTAACTAATACATTATCAATACCCAAACAGAAAGAACAATCTAGAAGCAGGTGATGGATGTGAGCATTTCTGCAAAAAGGAATAGTGTGTGACAATATTTCACTAAGAAAACACTGAATTTTAAATACAGGCAATGTGTATCTAATCCTTGTATATTTGGGAGGTTGGTTGGTTGTTTGTTTATCTTGGTGGTGGTAGTATACTTTAACCTCAGTATTCTGAAGGCACAGAATGGTAGATCTATGCAAGTTCAAGGACAGCCTAGTCTACATAGTGAGTTCCAGGATAGCTAGGGCTACATCCAGAGTTCAGAAAGTCTTCCTCCCCATAGTGATAAAAACCTATTTGGGAGAAGAGAGTTAGGAGATTAATATACTTCAAAACTTCATGTCCTTTGTCTGGTTCCTCCAAGTCATTACTTACATATTTTTCCTCTAGGAGATCTAATTTTTAAGGTACTGATTATGTATGAATGTGCATGTGTGTATTTGGGTTCGTGTGCACCAGGGTATAGTACCCATGGAAGTCAGAAGAAGGTGTCAGATTCCCTGGAGCTATAGGTGGTTGTGAACTGCCTGTGGATGATGGGAACAAAACTCAGGTCCTCTAGAAAAGCAATGCACACTCTTAATCATTAAATCATCTCTCCAGCCCTAAAAAATCGATTTGGAGCAGAATGAAGAATGTAGGCATGGTCACCTCATTCTTGGAATGTCCATTATGGTTGACAGGCTGTCTGATACAGCCCCTCCTTGCAGTCTCTAATCAAATATTCATTTTAATATTAGATTGCTAAACTACATAGCATTAGACAGAAATTAAATGTCTAGCAACATCTATTTTTCCAAGGCACATTGGGAAAAACTTTATCTGAAGTTTGCTGTATGTTCTGTAATTCTCAAGAGCTGTGGCTGGAGCCACAGTTAAACCTCTGCCTGAAGCTGACAGTACACACTGCCCTGGCTGCCCTCAGCACAGACTGCACTGTTAACACTGTGCCAAATGTTACCACTTCCTCCGCAGACAGTCACATGCAACCCATCTCTCTGTGCAGATGACTGCCACACATTTTCGCTTCGACACACAGCCTAGTACAGTAGACTGAAAGCCTCCTCATAGAGGGAAGAAGACTATCGTAGAGCAGATTAAAGTCAGAGAACTAGACTCTCTAGAACCTCAGCTACCCTGATGAAAAGATACTACATAGTCTGGGGGAAGGGGAAGGGTAGGAACAAAATATATTACTAGCCCTCTGCTTTTACATCCTGCATTTGAGTCTCAAGCTGGTTTTGTTTCCTCCTCTCATCAGTTAGGCCTGACATGGTCCTGGTAAGGTGCTCAGAGATGTCCCAGCTTCCACCACCAGAGAATATACCCATACAAACCCAAATTCCCAAGTCCTGAACTAAGCAGTCACCCCATGTGGCCCCTCAAGAAGAAATAAGCTTTGCTTTGAAAAGCTGCATGTTTTAGTTCAGGACTGCGTGGGGCACAGACAATGCAGACAGCCCTGGCACTGCACTCCGTCTCCGGGGAGAGTGTCACCCGCCCCAGTGCTTCCTGAGGTGCTCTTTCAGCTGCGGGATGGAAGGCAGCAACTGCTGACACTTGTGGCAACGAAGAGGCAGCTTCAAGAGTTCAGAAGTCCCTTCTTGAACAGTCACTCTACCAACTTCTTGAACCATCTTGATCACAGCTGCAAACAAGAAGTAAAGTTCAGAAGACAGCTACTCTGAACAGTCATTAAGATGCCAAGAAAAAGGCTAAAAACATGACTATCAACATATCTGCTATGCTAAGGCTCATGAACTTGAAGATAAGACTTCACACTGGGAAAATGCACTTGACCAGATTTTAAGTCTCAGCAACCTACCTTTGAGATGATGCACTCCTTCAGGACACACTCCATGTACCACAACATAGGCCTATCATCACGCTTTTCCTCGAGTGGATCTTTGCTAAACAGTAGCTGCCCCATTTACACCACAGTAGTACTGGTTGCGTAGAAAATAATCTGAGAAATGCTTACATCCCAAATATACACAGTATTCATGAAGCACTGCTAACAGGAGAGAGCCCCAAACTCCTGCTCAACTCTGCCAAAGAGACAAAGAACTACTGAGACCCTCTCACCCAAGAACTCTGTTAGCATTTGGACATGAAGTGTCCCCCCTAAAGCCTCATGAATTGCAAGTGTGGTCTCCAGATGTTGATGCTATTTGGTGAGATGATAGAAACTTTAGGAGGTGGGACCTACCTGGAGAAAATAGGTCACCGGGTACACCCTTGAGGCTGTGTTTTGTCCCAAGTCCCTTCCCTAGGCCCTCTCTCCTCTTTCTTTCTCTCAATCCCTGGCTACCAATAAGAGAGCAGCTTTACTCGTCCCATCCCTCCCTGCCAGTGTGCTCCCTCACCATAGCCCAGCAACAGAGCCACGGACGCGTCCTCTGACACTATGAACCGAAACAACTTTAATTTCTTAGTGTATGTCAGGTATTCTGTCACTGTGACAAACAGCAGAGCATGGCTAGCACAGACTCTCAGATTCAGCACCAGCTCCCACACATCTTCCTAGAGAAGAGTCTACCCCAGATAACAAGAACACCTGGCAGATTGGGCGGCATTAACTCCTCTGCTGTCAAAATGAAACACTTTTGAGCCCAACGTAACAGCTGACTGGGTCCTTCCAGGATGCTCACAGCAACGCAGCAATCTTATTACAGTGAAACATTCTCGTTCATTCTAGGAGTGCCAGTTTTTCAGAGATCACTAAATGTATGTGGGTCATTTGAGGCCAGGTAAAACATCCAAGAAAATGAAATAAATATTTTTTTAAAAGAATATTATTTACCTTGTGATTCCAGAAAGTATTCTGTATTGAAAGAATTCCAATGTTTTTTGTTTTTAAGGCAAGGAGAATCAAAATCCTGGCTGATCACATGAAGGTGTACATGGCTAGTTGAAAGTTGAAAATTTGAGTATTAGAAACTATGATTTAATCAAAATGACACCAGTTAAAGTACAGGTACATAAAGTTATGATGCTGTGTTCATTCAATGCAATATACCCATTCATTTAGTTGAGAACAGTAAATGCTTGGGAGACAACATACGGAGCAAAGTGCTTGCCATGTGTGATGGATAGTTTTACATCAACTTGACACAAGCTAAAGTCATCTGAGAGGATGCAACCTCAATTAAGAAAATGCCTCCAGCCAGGTGGGGGTGCCACATGTCTTTAATCCCAGCAGTCAAGAGGCAAAGGCAGGTGCAATCTATGTGAGTTTGAGGCCAGCCTGGTCTACAGAGTGAGTTCCAGGACAGCCAGGGCTACATGGAGAAACCCTGTCTTGAAAAACAAAAACTAAAACAAGAAAGAAAAAAAAAATGACTCCTTAAGATCAGGCTGTATGAAAGCCTGTGGGGCATTTTCTAAATTAGTGATTGATGGGATGGGGCCACCCCTGGGCTGGGTGTCCTGAGTTCTATAAAAAGCAAGCCATGAGGAACAAGCCAGTAAGCAGCACCCCTCCAAGGCCTCTGCATCAGGTTCTGCTTCCAGGTTCCTGTACTGTCTGAGTTCCTGCCCTGACTTCCTTTGATGAAGAGCAGCAATATGGAAGTGTAAGCCAAATAAACCCTTTCCTTGGTCATGGTGCTTCATCACAGCAATAGTAACCCTAATTGAGACACCATGCAAGCACAAAGACCTAAATGTAATCTTCAGCCCTGAGGTGAAAAGGCCAGGCATAGCAACACATACTCTCCTAGCACTGAGGAGACACAGCTTGCTGGCCAACCAGTCTAGCCAAATCAGCAAGCTCCAGGTTCAGTGAGTATCCATGTCTCAAAAAATAAGGTGAAAGCTAGATATGGTGGTACATGCCTTTAATGTCAATACTCTGGAGGAAAAGACAGCAGGGTCTCTGTGAGCTCCAGGGAAGCCTGGTTTGCATAGCAAATTCCAGGCCAGCCAGAGCTACACAGTGAGAACCTGTCTCAAATAAATAAGTAAATAAATATTAAAATAAAAAAGGAGAAAATCAATTAGCTACACACACACACACACACACACACACACACACAAGAATATTTAGTGCTTAGTAAGTACCTAATCAAACCTAGAACTGGGAATTTAGTAGTGAATAATATACACAAGGACTCTAAATCTAGAATAATGACATTCTAATGAAGAAAGACAAATAAGCAAGAAAAATCCAAGTCACTAAAGAAGGTGCCAGGCATGTTGGCACATGCCTTAAATTTCAGTACTTGGGAAGCTAAAGTAGGAGGATCCTAAACCCAAGGCCAGCCTGGGCTACACAGTGAAACCTGTCTTAAAAAAAAAAAAAAAAGGAATAACGAGTTGAGAAAAGAAAGGGGTTCAGTAGAAATAGGAGGAGGAGGCAAGAATAAGAGTATACACATATATGAAAATGCCATAATGAAACCCATTATATGTAATTATTGTACACTAATAAAAGAAGAAGAAATTAAGAGGAGGAAGGAAGAAAAGGGAAGGAGAGAGAAGTGGGACAGTGACTAGGGCTGGAGCTAGATAATTGTGCCCAGACAAGACCTCTGCCAGGTAAAGCAAGAGCAGAGGCCAAATTCAAAGCCCTGGGGCAAGCAGCAGCTTGGTGTAAGCATGGAACACAAAGGAGGTGATATGGCCACAGTATATGACCAGAAATACTAGAGCCGAGGAACAGGAATTCAGCAAGAGCCAGATCATGATGGGCCTAAAGGCCTGTAAGAGTGTTGTTCTATACTGACCGAATTAGGGAGCTGCTGAAGAGTTTAAGAAGACAATTTCCCACTTGTACCTTTAAAAGATCACTCTGGCTGTTGGGAAAAAGAGATGGGGGGCTTGTAAGACAGGACATAGGGAGATCTGCTACAAAGCAACTGCAACAGTCAATGGCAAAAACCAGCATAGCTTACACTAGAGCTGGGCTGTAGCAGAGATGACCAAAAAACAGCCCAATTTTGGTCATGTTTTAGAAGAAATCCAAGAAGATTTACTAACTTTCTGGGTGCAGTTTTAGGCAGTGCTACTTGTTGAGATGGAAAAAGGTACAGGGAAAGGACATGCAGTTCAAACTAAGTTAATTAGGCTGAGTCGATGGCTCCTGCAAGCATGAGAATCTGAGTTTTGACCCCTAGAACTCACATTAAAAAAAACAGTCATGGTCATGTACTTGAAGTCCCACACTAAGGAGGTGGAGACAGGTGGACTCCTGGGGTTAACTGACCAGCCTAGCCTAATCAGCAAGTCCCAGGTCAGAGAGAGTTCCTGTCTCAAAAAAACAAAGTAGATGCACCGGAGGGGAAAGACACTTGAGGCTCACAAGCATGTGTGCATCCACATGCACGCACGCACGCACGCACGCACGCACGCATGCACATATACACATAATTGTACTTTGTTTAAGTAGAATGACTTTTTGTATAACTTTCATTCTTGGAAATAGTAGTATTTCATTTTGAATCATTAATAATCAAAAGCTACCAGTATGTGTGCAGCATCCAAAATGGAATATAAGCAGTAACGAACAAGCAAATGAATAAAAATGAAGGGAACCACACTGAAGAGTGTGAGAAAAAAATAACTACTTTTGAAAACAATATTTTGACTAGATGCCGTAACACTATAAAAGGGTTGAGGACTTATCACAAACACTGTACTACAGCAGTAAATGTCTCTGCACAGGATATGGGTTAACAATTCTATAAGTATATTATACATATGCCAGGACTGAACACATAAGTGAACTCATTATAGTGAATGGCATCCTGTCTCTCACTAATAGAGAAAGAAGACACAAAAAAGGAAGTGGGAAAACAAGATGTGTGTTGCTCGTAGAGACGGGCTTGGAGGAATGGTGCCAGCATGATCTGGAAGCCTAGCAGGGTCGAGTCTGAGAGGAGAACCAGCAGCAATTACCCTTTCCCTTTTGCATATACAAATACAAAGTCAGAGATGGGGAGAGGGCTTAGGATGTGTGTGTTATTTCCTGCTCTACCACTTAGATGATGTAGAAGCAAAGACACCCTAAAGTCAACTACTTCCCTCATTATAGAAACCTGGTATCAAGACCTCTCTGGAGATGATGAACCTGAGGTATCTTGTAGGAACAGAAAATAAACCTTAAAAACTGTTAGGGCATGGAGGGACAAAGAAGCCAACCTACAGGAGCTTTCAATGACCAAAGATGAAACAATTTAAGAAAAGCAAATGATAGAAACTAAAATACTGAATTAGAATGTACAGAACATCCATGAGATGAGTCTATACTTGAAACAAAGGAGAAGGCACAGCTTCCACACTCAGAAGTCCAGTTTATACATTAGATGGAGAAATATAAAACCATCCCTGGGAAAAAAGCATAATAATCGCATTGCAGGCAATAGAGCTCAGTGTGGTGCATCAAATTAGTGATCCCAGAACTAGGGAAACTGAGGCAGGATGACAACTCTGAGTTCAAGGTCAGCCTGAGCAAAACAGCAAGTTCCAGGTTGACCTGGATACAGAGTAAAGTCTGTCTCAAACAAATAAATAAAAAATAAAACTAAGATAAAATCTACCAATAGAAAATAAAATAATGGATCAACATAGTAAAAATGGCAATCTTGCCAAAAGCAATCTACAGATTCAATGCAATCTCCATCAAAATCCTAACAAAATTCTTCACAGACCTTGAAAGAACAATTCTCAACTTTATATGGAGAAACAAAACACCCAGGATAGCAAAAACAACCCTGTAAAATAGAGGAACTTCTGGAGGCATCACCATCCCTAACTTTAAGCTCTATTACAGAGCTATAGTCCTGAAACAGCTTGGTATTAGCACAAAAATAGACAGGTAGACCAATGGAATAGAGTTGAAAACCCTGATATTAACCCAC